AAAAAAAAAAAAAAGTGTTGCGCACATACTTCCATATTTTTCTACCTGGCTTACCAACTTCTTACCCCTCTGCCCTGCCTCCTTTTTTTCTTAGTTAACAAAAACGCCAAGGCAGAAGGATCACTTGAGTCCAGGAGTTTGAGACCATGAAGACTAGCCAGGGCAACATAGTGAGACCCCATCTCTACAAAAAATGTTTTAAGAATTAGCTGAGTGTGGTGCTGCATGCCTATAGTTGCACCTACTTGGGAGACTGAGGCAGGAGGATCGCTTGAGCCTGGGAGGTCGAGCCTGCAAAAAGCCAAGATCATGCCACTGCACTTCAGCCTGGATGACAAAGTGAGACCCTGTCTCAAAAGGAAAGAAAAGGAATACATGTACATAGTAAAACATTCCATCAGAAAGGTTTAAAATGAAAGGCAAAAGTCCCTCCACCCACTTCTGTACTCCCTCTCCCCAAGGGTGTCTGCTGTTAAATCTTATATAGCCTTCCAGCAAAACATATATTTACCAGCAAAAACGTATACGTATGGGATCAACTATACATTTTGTTTTGCATCTTGCATTTTTTTTTCTTTTAATATATCTTGGTTACTTTTTCACATGAACACAGGGGCAACTCTACACGATTGCGTAATATTCCATTGTGTGACTGTAAAGTCATTGATTTAACTTGTCCCCTATTGATGGACTTTCACATTGTTTCTACTTCTGCGCTAGTAGAAAAACCTGGTGCAACCAACATCCCCAAACTTATTTATTTTATTTGTTTGAGGCAGGGTCTTGCTCTGTCCCCCAGGCAGGAGTGCAGGGATGCCATCATAGCTCACTGCAGCCTTGACCTCCCAGGCCTAAGCGATTCTCCTGCCTCAGCCTTTTGTGTAGCTGGGACCACAGGTGTGCACCACCACACCTGGCAAACCTTTTAAATTTCTCGTAGAGACTGAGTTTTGCCACGTTGCCCAGGCTGGTCTTAAACTCCTGAGCTCAAATGATCTGCTCACCTCAGCCTCCTAAAGTTCTGGGATTACAGGCGTGATTCACTTTGCCCCAGTCCTGAACTTATAATTTTTTAAATTTTGAATTGGAGTCCTGTTCTATGGCCAAGGCTGGAGTGTGGTGGTGCAATGTCAGCTCACTGCAAGCTCTGCCTCCGAGCAATTCTCCTGCCTCAGCCTCCTGAGTATTTGGGTTTATAGGTGTGCACCACCACACCCAGCTAATTTTTGTATTTTTAGTAGAGAAGGGGTTTCACTGTGTTTGCCAGGCTGTTCTCGAACTCCTGACCTCAAGTGATCTGCCCCTTGGTCTCCCAAAGTGCTGACATTACAGGCGTGAACCACTGTGTATGGTCCTGAATTTATAATTTGATGTATTTTGGGGAATATATTCGAATGAGTAAATTTATTGCAATGAATTTGCCAGGGCAAAAGGTGTGTATATTTAAAGCCTGATAAATATTGCCAAATTCCCCTCTGCTGTGGTATTCCAAATTGTGTTCCCACCAATACTGGATATTATCACATTGAAAAATGTGATTTTACCAATCTGATGTTTTCTTTCAGTTCTAAGAAAAAATAAAATGTAGTATTTTTTTCTGTCTCTTGTTTTTCCCTTAGTATTTTGATTGTCAAAGGCAACAGCAGATACTGCTGAGAAGGCTTGGTTGTGTAAGATTGACTGAAAGGATAGAGAGACAGACCCAGGGTCAGGTTTAGCAAGTTTATTTCAACCTGCCAGGCTGACTGCCTCACCACAGGCGGTGAAGGCAGCAGCCTAGCTTACAGACTATAGGGGTTATATAAGGGGTTTGCAGGTAGCTGGGGCTAGTCTAAGAAAAACTGCCTCTTGGTTCTTAAATGCTAACATCCTGCTTAATTGGGTTGCCATCCTGGGTTCGAGGGCCGGGTGTGACCACATCCTGGAACCCAGGCGACCTGTTTGCAAAGCGTGAGGCTGTTTTTGCTGTGAGCTCGGCTTAGCAGGAGAGAACAGGGAGGGGGGTCTATGGGCTTGCCTTGCTGTGACCCTAACATTCCAGCCTTTTGTTATATCTATAAAAGAAAGAGAGAAGGGGTGACATTTGTTTCTAGCTGCTTCATGCTAGGTAGGGATGCTGGTTGGGGTGAGGCTGGCTTGCAAGTTGGTAGTCCTGGAATACCATCATGTTTTGTATTGTGCTGCGAGTAAAGGCTTATAATTGATTGTGCAAAAACTGGGTGAAAAGGCATAAGAGACAAGGGCCAAAGACCAAGAGGAGGAGGAGAGTTATAGCAGGGCCAAGGAGGAGAAGCAGCCAAGGGGCCCAGGAACCGAGAGACCAGCCGGGCTAGGAGGGCCAGGCAGAAGAATTGTTTTCTTTTGTTTTTTTGGGCTCAGTCTTCAAGTCTTTTGGTTGCATCTTGCACTATTCGGATTGGTTGAGATAGAAACACCATTGTTCATCTAGGAAGTCGCCGAGACCTCCTTTTTCGGCGGTAAGTAGATAGAGGCTTCTTTGGTTCTGGAGGACAGCTGCGGCCAGTAGTGAATCTATTTGTGTTTGGTGGTTAGAAATGGACTTGGCCATGTCCTCTATAATGTCTGTAAGGTCTTTGGAGAGGGAGGGATAGTAGGAGAGAGTTGGAAAACCTGGCATTTCCTGTTGCAATGCCTGTAGTCCTGTAGCTATTCCTAGTCCCACAAGCAGAGGTATGAGCTGCACCGCCCAGTGGTGCCAGATAGGAGTGTTGACCAGGATGGGTAAGGATTGTTACCTGGGACTATACTCATTTTTTGGGCTGAGGAATACTAGGGTGCAGGTGCCAGTCCAATTAGTGGGGAGGCAAATATAGGTGGAGGTGCCGCTAAAAAAGAAGACACCTTGGCTTGGCAGACGGAATTGTGTATGTTGAAGAGATGTGAAAATTTGTTGTTCTTTAGGAGCCATACTCCTAACGTCCCTGCAAGTGTGGCTGCAATGAGTGGGAGTAGGGGTGCATTATGAGGGGTTTGAGTGCCCTGCAGTGCCGCATTTTCCCAGTGTAGTAAGAAGCGTTTGGTGTCTACCAGAATCCAGTGAGAGGAGTTATTGGCAAAGAATGGGTGGAGGAGACAGTCTGGAGTTCTAGATGACTCAGTTTCACAGGAGGGCAGCCAGGGATGGAGTTTTAAGCAGGAAAGGTGTGTGCCGTTGCAGAAGCCTGACTTCTTATTAAGGAGTAGGGTGATGTTGAGTTTTGGGGGGCTTGAAAAGCAGAGAGTAGTTTTGAATATGTTTTGGTTGGTATGACCAGCGGAGGGTTTGAGTTGTAAAGTGAAGTTTACACTGTTGGGGGGGCAGGTGGCCTAGGAGGTGGCCAGTTGGGGAATGGCGTAGAAAGCACAGTGGGGCCTGAGAGAGCAGAGCTGTTTGTGTGGTGATGGGGTTTAGTAGAGGCTGAGTTTGATTGATATTGGGAGTAAGGGAGGTGAGAAATGGGTGTAATAACAGAACTGCTTGTCCAGTGGGAGATGGAGGTTTGTTATGCTCTGTGAAGGATTCAGAGAGTTGTATTAGTTGCTATAAATTATATTGGAAAGGCCTCCCTAATTGAAAGTGGGGTGATAGTTTACTCTGGTATGGATCCAGTCTTTTGTGGGAACAGGGATGGCAATATAGACAGTGTCTGAGACAGAGACACAGCCAACAGTTGCTTGCCAGAGCTGGGTTAGACTGGTTTAGTTGGCACCGAGTTGAGTTGAGACTGTGGTGAAGGTAGTGTGCCAAGGGAATGGGGTAGGTGTTGGTGAGAGAGGGGGTAGGAATAGCAAATAAGCAAAGGGTAAGGATGAAGGTAAAAAACTGGACTTCATCTGGGGTGAAATTGCAGAGGGTGCCTTGGAAGATAAGGTCAGCTATCCAATCTAGAAATGGGGAGAGAGTAGGTTCTTTTGGAAAGAACCATGCAATATCCTCCCTGAGATGGTGAAGGAGGAGAATGAAGCGATAAGAAGAACAGAGACAGGGCATAAAAAAAAAAAAGAGGGGGCAGTTATTTACCAGCAATTGTTATTCCTGCTATTAGTGCAATGATTAGGCAAAAAATTATGGCAATGAAGGCTCTCTGCTGTTCCACGTTGAGGGGGCTACAGTATCTATACCTACTGCAAACAAGAGGGTGAGTGAGGCAGCTCCCCTAAGAAGGATGTAGTAAGCAATTTCCATTTAAGGGTGTTATAACACTTGATTTGTAAAAAAGGAGCAGGAACAAATAGAGAGGGGGTAATTTTGCCTAATTGTCTGGTGGCAGTCCCTCTGGATGTAAGGCAGAATCTGGTTGGCCCGAGCATGACGCTGGAGTATTGATGAGTGATTGGCGGGGAAGGAGTAGACGGACCAGTGGGGGCCTCAGGGGCCCGATTTCACCTGGAGAGATGATACCAAGAAGTGTGTCCTGAGAATTTGGCCACCGTGGGGGTAGTGAGGAGAACCTGGAAGGGGCCTTCTCATTTTGGTTTAAGGCTTGTGGGATCAAGGGTTTTTAGAAAAACACATTTTCCTGGGAGTAGGGCCTGGTTAACTGGGCCTTTGTGAGGCCTTGGGAGGGTCCGATTGGTATGTTGGCGGAGGAGGTGTCAGATGAGAGAGAGTGTCGAGGGATATTCTCCTAGTTGATAGTTAGGAGGGGGCCTGTATTGTAAGAGGAAAGGGCGTCCATACATTAACTCCAATGGGCCGAGGAAGATGGGTGCATTTGGGCTGGCTCTGACTCGGGCTAGAGCTATGGGAAGAAGGGAGGTTCAGGGCTTTTGGACTTCGAGAGTGAGTTTGGCTAATTGAGTTTTAAGGATTCCACTTGCCCTTTCGACTTTTCCAGATGACTGGGGTCAGTATGGGATATGCAGGCGCCACTGGATGCCAAGGGACTGAGGCTTGTTGGGTGATTTGGGAGATGAAGCTAGGGCTGTTGTCTGATTGTATGGAGCGCGGGAGACCCAATTTAGGGATGATTTCTCTTCAAAGAATTTGAGAGACTACTGCAGCCTTTTCTGAGGAGGTGGGGAACGCTTCCACCCACCCAGAGAACACTTCCACCCACCCCTTCTATAAGGGTAAGAAGAAACCTAGGTTTTTTGACAGGAGGCATGTGGGTGAAATCTACTTGCCAGTCTTCTCCTGGGAGTGATCCTCTTAGCTGGTGTGTGGGGATGGAAGGAGGGTGGAGGGCCCCTTGAGAGGAAGTTACAGAGCATACATGACAGTTTGAGGTTATGTCCTTTAGTGTGGTAAATAGGTGGGGGGAAGAGAAGTAAGGGCAAAGGAAAAGGTACAGGGGGCATGCGCCGATATAAAAGGACTGGTGAAGAGGTGTTAGAATTTCCTTGGTTTGTTTTTGAGGGATGATGAGTCTTTGATTTTTGACTATCCAGTTCCCTTGGAAGGAGGCTTTTTATTGTTACAATGAAGCTTTTTCGGTGAGAGAATACTGAGGTTGGATTGTGGGGGTGTTGAGGAGAAGAGGGGCAGGGGCAGAGGAGAGGGAGGCTATTTTGCTGCCTTGTCGGCCTTTCTGCCCCTTTTTGAGATTTAATCTGATCCTGTTTGGTGTCCTCGGTAGTGTATAACTCCTGCCTTAGCTGGGATGTGTGTGCAGCTTGAAGGAGTTGGTAAATAAGGGGACCATTAGTGATGGGGGTTCCTGCCTAGAATGGGAGTAGGATACCAAGGCATGATAAGGAAATAGTGTGAGAAGACGGTATTAAATAAGGAACAAGTAAGGGGTCTGGTGGCCTATGGACGTGAGACGAGTCCGTCAGCCTCCATGACTGAGACCTGTGAGGGATGAATTGGTCCTGAGAGTTCAGGTAAAGCTGAGCAGGTGGCCTTGGTATTGATTAAAAAAGAGATAGGCTTACCTGCTACTAACCGAGTTACCCTGGGCTCCGATACAGTAATGGCTGATGCCACCAGGGTCCCCGAACCCTGTCATTCTTCAGCGGCTAAGCCAAGGAGCTATGGGCATGCAAGCGATTCTTCACCTTTTGTCTTGGTGAAGGGGTTGCGGGTTGGAGGTACAGGCTTTTCTGTCTGCCTGTTGAGAGGACAGTTAGACTTCCAGTGGCCTGTCTGCTGGCAGATGGGGCAAGAGTTCTTTGGCGCCTATGAATTGGGGCATGCCCACACCCAGTGGCCTTCCTTGCTACACTTGAAACATGACCCCAGAGGTGCACTGCTATTGGGTCTTTTGTGCCCCTGGGTGCCATAGCCAGGCTGTTTAGGTTGGCTGATGGCTGCTGCTAGAAGCTGATGTTTACCACAATCTCTTTGGGCCTTGTTTATTTTACTTTGTTCATCCCTGTTGTTGAAGACCTTGAAGGCCAGGTTGAGGAGGCCTTGTTATGGGGTTTGAGGGCCACATTCAGCCTTTTTAAGTTTGTGCCGGATATCTGGAGCAGACTGGGAGATAAAATGAGTGTTAAGAACTATATTGCCTTCTTGAGGGCAGGATTAACACAGGTGTATTTTTGGAGGGCCTCTGTGAGGCGGGAAAGAAACTGGGAAGGATTTTTCTTTGCCTTTTGGGAAATTTATTTGAATTTTTCAAAATTTACAGCCATATGGGCAGCTTTGTTAAGGCCTGTCATGAGGCAAGTAATCCTGTGCCTATGAGATGCCTGGCTGGAATCTGTAGGCTGATTTTCCCAGGCCAGCTCCTCTTGGGGGACAGCAGCCACCCCTGTGGGTTTAGTAGGGTCCTGCTGATGGAGGTCATCAGCATGTGCCTGTGCTGCAAGCCACACTCTTTCCTTCTCTTTTGGAAGGATGGTGGAAGAGAGGATAATATAGAGATTATGCCAAGTGAGTTCTTAAGACTACTGAGTAAGATATTTAAATTCTTTAATGTAAGTTTCTAGATTGGAGGAGAAGGACCTGAGGCACTTTTCAATTTGGGAGAGATTGGATAGAGAGAAGGGAACATGAACGTGGACAATGCCTTCTATCCCTGCTGCTTCTTAAATGGGGGGTAAGGGAGCTGGCTGGGGGGGATGCTGGGCCTGGGATTGGGTATGGTGTGGAGATGGAGAGGAGTTGGAGTCAGAAGCGGGGGGATTGGAGAGTGGAGGGGACAAGGGAATAGCTGGAGCTGGGGCGTAAGGCGGAGGTTCAGGGGTCCTGGTGGAGGCTCGGGCCATTGGCGGAGAGGAGGGAATCAGCTGGGTTGAAAGAGGATGGACGCATTGCCTGCCAGGGCTGTGGGAGGGGTTGAGTTGGGTTTTGATCCGGTGAGGAGGATTTGCAAAGTGGAGCAGGACTGACAAAGGGAGGGGGCAGTTGCAGAGGCTAAAGAAAGGCTGAACATAGGGAACCTCAGACCATTTCCCATTGCGGTGGCAGAAATTGTCAAGGTCCCAGAGGATGTTGAAATTTAAAGTGCCATTCTCAGGCTACTGAGAACCATTGTCTAATTTATACTGGGGCCAGGCCGTATTACAATACAAAATTAATCTCTTGGGCCTGACTTCAGACCAGAGACAAGGGTGTCCAGATTTCAGAGGAGGCATCCTAAGGGGGTAGTTTTAGATGGAACAGACTGTGTGGACCCCAGGGTAAAAGACTGGAAGAGGAGGAGGCTGCCAAAGAGAAGGAAGACAGGAGAGAGCATCCTCTGCCCTGTTTCCTTCACCTAAGACAGTGAATTTGGAATAGTAGCTGTTGAATTAGGCATCCCAAGATGACAGGACTGAGGCCCCTGGAGCCAGAAGGATGTTCTCGGCCCAGCGCTGAGACTTTCGGACAGAAAATGGACAGACAGTTGAGGAACCTGGGTGAAGGCAAACCTCTATCCAACTTACCAGCTGGGAGGTGATAATTTGGATGGAGATAACCACAGTTGGCAATAGAGGTCTGGGGTTTCCTTCCTGGGTCTGGAAAAGGGTTCAGGATGGGCAGTGGGGGGTTGGGGGGGGTAGCCTTGGAGCAGGGAAAGAGAGAGAGAGAAAGAGCGGCCAGCACCTACTCTTGTCCTGGGTTTCGGCACCAAAATGTAAGGTTGACCAAAAGGATGGAGAGACAGACCCAGGGTAAGGTTTAGCAAGTTTATTTCAACCTGCCAGGCTGACTGCCTCACCACAGGCAGTGAAGGCAACAGCCTGGCTTACAAACTATGGGGATTATATAGGGGGTTTGCAGGTTGGCTAGGTGCTAATCTAAGAAAAACTGCCTCTTGGTTCTTAAATGCTAACATCCTGCTTAATTGGGTCACCATCCTGGGTTCAAGAGCTGGGTGCGACCACATCCTGGAACCCAGGTTCCCTGTTTGCAAGGCATGAGGCTGTTTTTGCTGTGAGCTCGGCTTAGCAGGGGAGAACAGGGAGGGGGGTCTATGGGCTTGCCTTGCTGTGACCCTAATAGGTTCGAGCAGTGGGAAGGGGTGAGAATGTCAATGAAACCTTAGTCCTATGAAAGTTTTGATTGAGGCTGGGCGCGGTGGCTCATGCCTGTAATCCCAGCACTTTGGAAGGCTGAGGTGGGCAGATCACAAGGTCAGGAGATCTAGACCATCCTGGCTAACAGTGAAACTCTGACTCTACTAAAAAAAAAAAAAAATTAAAAAAAAAAAGTTTTGATTGATTTATTTGGTAATAGCAGAATTTTTCAGATATCTGAAAGTACTTTTTTTAAACCAAAATGTTAACTTTAACTACTTTGGATAGGAAAATAATCCTAAAATTATGACATAACTTCCTTGAGTTTAAAATAAATATTAAGATAGGAATCTTCTTAATGCCTTAGGCCTATCAATTATAGCCCTGGGCTATAATTTAGTGATGTCCTTAGGCCATTTTGAATATGTAGAAGCATTTAATACCCTTAGCTAAATGGCCTCCAGCTGATATTTTGAAAAAATTTCTAAGTATACCTTTTATAGCTTTTTTACTTTTTCATAACTGTCAGTTTTCATTTTTAAGTTTGGCAGTTTACTGTATTTGCTTACAGAGGCTTCTCTCCAGCCTCCTCTGAATTGGTTCTCTACTTTCTAAACTTTATCACTTGTTATAAATACATACAAAGTAGGTATAAGTTGACATTTAATAAGGTTGCAGTAAGTCTTTCATGGGTAAAGCCTGCACAATTTAATGCATAAGCCTTGGATTTTGCCAGTGGAGGGACTCTTTACTGGGGCAATTTCTTATTGGGAAAGGTATTGGTGTGTTCCATTTGTGGAGAGGAAGAGTGGTTAAAGAGCTGTTAGCAGTGGTTTCAGCTGTAGGTAAGCCTTTTGTGATTCCAGTAGAGGGGATGCACTTGGCTATAGGAACCTTTCTAAGCTCAATGGGTCAGTAAGTAAAGGGGTAATAGTTGATGGATGGTTATGTGGTTTTTGTGATGGGGAGGGGAGGGTTTGAGGAACAGGTCAGTATCTCTGTCCTCCTCACTACTAAGTGGATTTTATCCATTTATTTATTTGTTTTGGAGACAGAGTCTCGCTGTATACCTAGGCTGGAGTGCAGTGGGTGCGACCTCAGCTCACTGCAACCTGTGCCTCCTGGGGTCAAGTGATTCTCATGCGTCAGCCTCCCAAGTAGCTGAGATTACAGGCACCTGCCACCACACCCGGCTAATTTTTGCATTTTTAGTAGAGATGAGGTTTTGCCATGTTGGCCACACTGGTCTTGAACTCCTGACCTCAGATGATCTGCCTACCTCGGCCTTCCAAAGTGCTGGGATTACAGGTGTGAGCCACCTGCCCACCCCAAGTGGATTTAAACTTGGTTTATAGCTTATCTACTAAGCGGTTAAGAAAGGAGTATTCCTTTTTTTGCTTAACAAATCTATTTTGTAGCTTTGCGCAGTGACAGTATCATAGCCAATGAGGTTTATCTGAGGCACGATTATTGCTAATTGAAAAATTTTCCCAATACCCCGCGATGACGACTTGACATATAGTCGGCATTGGCAATTTTTGACAGTCTTTATGGAGACTGAATTAAAATATATATATATATATATATTTTGTCCAAATCACTCTGCCAGATACTGTAAGTGATATCAAATTGAGTTAGACATGGCTCATGCTTTCAAAGGGCTTGTAGTTCACCGACAGAGAAGGACCAGGACATAAATCATAAGCAGGAGTTAACCAAGGGTAGTGGAATCAATCAGTTAGGAGTCTCTCAGTTGCATGAAATGGAAAACCCAACTCAGAGGCCAATCGTGGTGGCTCACATCTGTAATCCCAGCACTTTGAGATTGAGAGGCCAAGGCAGGCAGATCACTTGAGGCCAGGAGTTCAAGACCAGCCTGGGCAACATGGCAAAACCCTGTCTCTACCAAAAATACAAAAAAATTAGCCTGGCTTGGTGGTGGGTACCTGTAGTCCCAGCTACTTGGGAGGCTGAGGTAGGAGGATTGCTTGAACCAGGGAGATGGAGGTTGCAGTGGGCCAAGATCACACCACTGCACGCCAGCCTGGGTACCAGAGTGAGACCCCATCCTTCATCTCAAAAAATAATAATAATAGTGTTAAAAAAAGAAAACCCAACTCAGACCAGCTAAAGCGAAAAGGAACTTAATTGGCTTCTGGCACTGCTTGAGTTGGGGCTTCGATGTTGTCCCCAGGCTCCATCAGCCTGAGCTGGGCAGTCATCTTTGTTAGGCTGGTTTCCCTGGTGGTGTAGCAGCAGCATCCTTCACATCCTGCATCCCACAGAGCAGAGACTGCTCTTTTTTGGAAGTTCCAGCAAATGTTTTATTGCTTTTCATTGGCTCTGAAAGCCACATGGCCATCTCCGAGCCAATCACTGTGGTCAGAGGGTAGGATGCGTTAATTGCATTAGCCTACATTATAGTTTACATACGTGGTGCTTGGGGATGGCACCAGCTTTATGCAAAGCATATTGGCCAATAATGGGGGAAGGATGCTTCCATCAAATCCAAAAAGGGCACTAGAACCAAAAGAATGGGGAATGCATGCTGGCTAGCCCAAGAATCCACCAAATACTTCGGTGTAATGATGATAAAAGGAGACCAGTCTCATTCGTGATCAGCCTGGGCAACATGGTGAAACCCCGTCTCTACTAAAATACAAAAAATTAGCCGGACATGGTGGCATGCACCTGTAATCCCAGCTGCTCGGGAGGCTGAGGCAGGAGAATCGCTTGAACCCAGAAGGCGGAGGTTGCAGTGAGCTGAGATCACGCCATTGCACTCAAAGTTCTGGATTGGGACACTGGAGACTCGGTGTGGTAGCTTCTGCTTGTAATCTCAGGACTTTGGGAGGTGGAGGCAGGCTTGAGGCACAGAGCTTGAGACCAGCCTGGGCAACATAGCATGACTGCCATCTTACAAAATAATTTTTTTTTAATTGGCCAGACACAGTGGCATGCACCTCTAGTCCTAGATCTTGGGAGGCTGAAGCAGGAGGGTTGCTTGAGCCCAGAAGTTTGAGGCTGTAGTGAGCTATGGTTATACCATTTGCACTCCAGCTTGGGGAGCAGACCAAGACCCTGTCTCTAAGAAAGAAAACCAGTTTCGACCGGATGCGGTGGCTCACGCCTGTAATCCAAGCACTTTGGAGGCCAAGGTGGGTGGATCAGCTGAGGTCAGGAGTTCAAGACTGGCCTGACCAACATGGTGAAACCCCGTCTTTAAAAAAAGAAAAAGAAAACCAGTTTCAGATTGCTACACTAAAGACTCAACTACTTCTTTTTTTTATTTCTTATTTTTGAGACACAATCTTCTCTTGGTCGCCCAGGCTGGAGTGCAGTGGTGCGATCTGAGCTCACTGCAACCTCCGCCTCCCAAGATCAAGCAGTTTTCCTACCTCAGCCTCCCAAGTAGCTGGGACTACAGGCGCCTGCCACCACGCCCAGCTAATTTTTGTATTTTTAGTAGAGACAGGGTTTTACCATGTTGGCCGGGCTGGTCTCAAACTCCTGACCTCGGTTGATTTGCCTGTCTTGGCCTCCCAAAGTGCTAAGATTACAGGTGTGAGCCACCATGCCCGGCCTCAACTATAATTCTTAGATGTGGATATTTTCTATTCTATATTTTGAACCTTGAAGAAAGTAGAATATAGTAAATTCGAGCATTGGCTCTGGAGGCTAATAGACCTGATTTTGAGACCTGGATCTGTTACAGCTAGATCATCTCCTACCCTCAATTTCCTTATCAGCACAAGGGAAACAATATTAATATTTACTTATAAGGTTTTTATAAAAATTCATTGAAAGAATTCATGTAAAACAGCACTGTGCTCACATGCAGTTAGCTATAGTTATTTTTGGTTGTTTTTCATAAATTAACTCAGTTGATAACCTCTGATTTTTGTTAGAGCCAAAGCAGCCATTATTATCATTATTATTATTACTATTATTATTATTTTTGAGACAGAATCTCACTCTGTCGCCCAGGCTGGAGTGCAGTGGTGCGATCTTGGTTCACTGCAGCCTCCACCTCCTGGCTTCAAGCAATTTTCCCACCTCAGCCTTCCTAGTACTTGGGATTACAGGCCTGGCTAATTTTTTTTTTTTTTTTTT